CTATATACAGTTTTGGAAATGCAGCTGCCTGCATCTAAAATGTACATAAGCATACGGAGCAGAGGTCTATCAGTGGCTATTAGCCACAAGATATAGATGGAACAGCACTGATGCTCTGTATTCTTGGTGCTTGGTGGGGCAACAGTGGGAGTTGTGGCCCTGTTGGTGGACCTCCTGATGGCATCTGGGTGTTGGACTGGATGGGCCACTGGCCTGATCCATATGGCTTCTGTTATGTTCTGATGTTCTTATTTGGAAAATAAGGAAACCTGTTCAACAAAGAAGCCATCAAAACTGTCGGAAACAGGAGTATTTTATTGCCTGAGTCATGGTATGAAAACCCACTTATACAAAATCTTCAACCCTTGAAGCAGTTCACATACATTATCCCAATAATCTTGATAATAAACCTGTAATGCAGTTTACAGCAATCACAGTTGCTGAGGCTGAGAGGGTAGAGGCTTGCTTAAGGCCACTGAGTTCATGACCAGAGTTGAACCAGAAGGTTCCATGCTCCGATCTCGCCCACAAGAAGTTTCAAAGCTCTGGAGGCAGCGGCTGCCTTGATATGCGAGGTAACCCCCCCTCCCGAAGAGCCAGGGTGGGGGGTGGCCCAAGGAGTCCAATGGACCTCAAGACTGTTTTTTTAAAACAACTTTTATTAGGATAATACACATTCACATTATATCAACTTCAATATATATCCTTTTCTACTTACTCCCCTCCCTTTCATAGGCTTCCAACAGCGTTTCCACCACCAGCTCAAATCTTATGGACTGTTTTGTTTTTTACAAGTCTATTGTGATGAACTAAAGCCAGCATGTGTCATGTTTTGTTTCTGTATAAGTCTGTCTCAGTAACAACCTGATCCTATTCATGTTTACTGAGGAAGCCCACGGAGTTCAATGGGACACATACCTCTCAAGGTATATGTACAGTAGGCATACCAATATATGTACATTGTTCTGAGTGTACTTTTCTCCACACTTCCCCTGATGTTCAAAGAGACCTTTTCACCTTGCCTTTCTCTTTACCAAGGCACTACAAATAGTCCCCATCCATCCTATCATCAGCATGCCCCTCTAACTGCTGATCACCTTTTACTGGGAGAGTGGCTAGAGGCTGCCGGAAGGCCTGAGTCCAGGCAACAGGTATTTGCATTTTCAGTGTTCCTTGAATTAATAACTAAAAAAAAGTCATATCCACATATGTTTTGTTGTGCTGTATAAGACAGTGGTGAGATCAGCATGCACACCTTCATTTCTGGTGCGGGAGATGCGGATGCCATTAGACACAAAGGAAGCCTTAGAAGATAGCCATTTTGTAGCATGAAGCCACATACATAAGCCAGTGAATTACTATATGCAGATGTAAATGAAATAAATGGTACAAGGTGGTAGGGATACATCTTGGTGCCACTGCAATGGAAGGCATTTGTATTGCCCTTACTTCTCCGAATAAATTCAGATGACAGCTCCATTTCATTTCTTCATTCAGTTTGGAGGCCAGATGGCATTAGAATCATTTACTTCACCTTGTTGTGTTTAATTACTACAATCAACACACTATTTTCCAAATTAATCATAACAAAGTAATTTCATTAGTAACACAGCAGGCTGTTGAATTATTAGCATCATAACAGTTTGCAAACAATTAAACTTTATTTGAACCTTAAAAATTTGCAGCGTGGAACATTATTGTAAGATCTAATGGCAGTCTAGTACAAATCCAGTGCAGAACAAATAATCAAGCAAAACGTTGCATAAAATATGACTTGCAAAAGAGCTCTCTTAGTATTCAGAGGAATACAAAGGAAATATAAGTAAACAACGAGAACAAAGCAATTAGCATATTTTGCAACATTCTGTTCTGGTGGAGTCACATTAATGGGGAATTCTCTCACCCCCCCACCCCCCCAAGGTTATGGTATTTGTCAAGATATCAATGCAAACATTTCATCCGTTTTATTTCACTGGTTTATTCCAAGGCATGTCTGGTGAAAAGGTGGGAATATATCACCTTTATAATATCTTCATTTTGTGTGTGTGTTTGCTAACATATCACTTTGCAGTATGTGAGAAAAAGGTTATGAAAATAATAAAACTGCTGCTGTCTATATCAGCCTTCCAATGGGAAAAATGGTTTGAAGAGTCTGTCATTCATCAGTTGGCTAAGGACTCCCTCTCCTGGATTTACATGAAAAGGGGAAGGGAGTGCTCCAAATATTTTAAGTTGCAAAAGATTTATTTGAGCATGACAAACACTGGTGGGGGATGGGTATCTCAAGAGTCCAACATGCTGTGAAAGTCTACTGCCATCTACTGGCCATCCTCTGTAATACAAAATGCCTATTTTCCTCTTCCTATATAAACCAACACAGGTGCTAGCCAGCAGTGATGTGAGTTCTGGATTTGTTAGAAAGCAATCATTGCATCTCAGAAATTCAAGCCAAACCCATAACCTTACAGAGGGCTTTTATCTTTGTCTACAGAAACTCCCTCTTGAAATAAAGGTCTGTCAATAATCTTAAACAACACTCAGGCTCTATTTCCCTTCTTAAAAAGAAAACAAAACAGCAATGACTATTTGAAGTAGCAATTGAAATAAGCCAAACTGTGATGCAAATCCAATCTGGCAAAGAGCACATCACACTAAAATTGCCACCACTCTAGACTGCAAATGAGGATTCACATGTTTGAATGCTTTCCCATGGTGGCAGAGGAAACCTCGTATATAGAATACTCTTTTCCGTAACAAACTGACTTTCCTTGGGGGATATTCATATGCAGATATAGATATATCTTCCATAGAAAGTCAATTTTTGGGAGGGCCTTTTCTCAGTGAAAGACATGTGTTTGTGTGTACGTATGTGTATACACAAAAGTTTGCAATGAAGTATGGACCAAAAAAGGAGGCTTAAAAAAGCAAAATAGAGAAGCAATGAGTATTCCTGCACCCATCACAAATTCTTGCAAGATTATGGTTGGCATTATTTGGGGACCCTAATAACACAACCAAGCAACTAAAAAAAATAGTGGTTGAAGGGAGGGAAAGATGGACGAAGGAGCAAGAGACTGAGCTGCGGTGACAGAGTGAAGAGAGAAGGATGGGAGCAGGCAAAAAGTGAGAAAAGGCAACAAGATGAGAGGAAGCAGGGACCAGCAGGGTGGGTGGGTGGAATGGGAACCTGCAGATACCCTGTGTGTGTGTGTGTGTGTGTGTGTGTGTGTGTGTGTGTGTGTAATAAAGATTATTTGGTCATGCTAATGGTCCCACCTGCATTTGAAGTAGTCAGAACTATTTTACTAAATGGCAACCCACTTGTTAAACTGGGCTTCAGTTTATACTTGCAGTGTGGCAACTGTAGAAAGCAAAGCACAGCCATCTTTAAAAAGCTGTTTCAACATCTTTGTTTCAGCATATGAATATTTCACATGATCATATTAATTGAGTGCAGTCCTGGTTAACCATAATCTAATTGGCACCAGTTTCCAAAACTACAGAATTGAGGGCCGTACAGAATGACTTTGATACTACTGGTCTTCTGATTCTCTTGCAAAAAAATCTAATAAACAGTTTAAACTGTGTGTTGGGATCATTTCAGTTGACCATTTGTGACAAAAGTTAGAATTAACAGTTAACTGGTACTAACCTGCTGGGTTCCTGAGCCATACTGTGCCTGCACAAAAATCAGTAATCAGACATGTCCAGCAACATAATAGCTTCAAAAAAAAAATAGTTCGAACTGAGGGAATAGGTTTTGATAAACTAATACGGGGATCCCCCCCCCCCAGCAGATTAATGTCCCGATCCAGACTTTTGGGGGTTACTCACAAAAGGCACTGTCCTCATTCTCAATTGGCTCCACCGCCATCAGTGACAATATCATGCAGCCAATCTGATTGGCTGCATAATATTGTGATATCATCCTTTCACTAAGTGATCCCCAGTTGGCTAAAGATCAGCCATGTGATTAGCCTAGAAAGACAAAATGTGGTAAAATGGCAAAGAAGCAGCTGTACCAGAGAGAGAAAACAATGCCAGAAACAAGAAAAGTGAATATTCACAGTACTGGAGAGTTTTTGTGAGGACTATTTTGTCTCCTGTTCCTGAAAGTATTTGTTTCAGCTTGAAAAATAACTTTCAATGCAGCTTTACGTGGTATACTTTTATAAAATAGATATTAATGAAATCAACAATTTATGGGCTATCACCCCAAGAAAGTACTCATATTTTGGACAATCAGGTTTTTCACCTCACCAGTCATCTCAAAGTGTTCCATATATTTATGCATTTCCTGTCCTGCCACTGATCAAATATTGACAGATGTGCTTCTGTTTTTCAGAGGAAAAGTTTTTAAAGGTATTTTTGAGCCAGTGTACATGGCATTTCCAATTTTTGCAAAACTGAATATCCTTTAACAGGTGTGTGACCAGCAGAACAGAATATCATTCAATGCATTTTTGTGAATATCTGTTCAAAAATCTATCTACACTTTGTACTTAGGATCATGCTTGCTGTAAAGTTGTTGTCTCTCCCCTCCTTTGACAAACATAATTTTTAAAAAGCTCTACAGCTCAAGATTTTACCTGTTATTACTTGCAGACCAATTAAACTATGCCAAATGCTATTTATTTACCTTGTTTACAGGATGATTACGTTTTAGGAATACCTTCCTTATTCAACACATTTGAAACATCCATGTATAAATAATACCCTCATTAGCTAGTTGATTTGATTTACCATCTGAGGACAGACATAGTACAGTACTGTTTTTGCTAAGACATCTATATTACGGAAGATCTGATTTTGTAAAAGGGAAATGCATTACATAAACACCAGTATCTTTGTTATATAAAAATGATAATAGGCAAATGGTGCTTCTCCAATTATATTAAAAACAACTATTCTAATTCACATAAAAATGATCTTCTACAACAATTTCAATTATTTCTTTAAAAATATTTATCAGAATCTAGTTATTACACAAAGAGGGTAAATAATATAAAAAAGTACCATCACAAAGGGACTGGGGGAAAATCAACCAAGAAATATTTGCTGCTGTGTATCACATGTAGAAAACAGAAAAAAGTGCAATCCACTGGGATTCTCAAAGTACAAGTGCAGTCCATTGGGAACATCTGATAACTAAGATTGCCAAAGGGACAGGGGAAAATGTCCTGTCCCTTTAATAGATGTTTAATGAGTGGCAGTATGCATTTGAAGCCATTCATAGCATGACATTAAGTAACATTTCCCTATTAATTGCTTGTAGATCAAACCGATATTGAAACAGGACAGCAAGAGGGACCAGTTTAAAAACTGGCAGCCGTGCCAATAACTCATGTTGAAATGAATACAGGATGCTCCAGAATTCTTGTACATCTTTCTTCCATTCATTACAGCTTGACTTATGCAGGTTATGTTCCCACTACACTATGCTTGGGTTACAAAAGTATAAATAAATGCCTGATCATGTGGCTCCATCATCAAAGTGACCAAACTTACATAGTACACAGAGAAAGCTTGACGTCTAGCATACCGGGGGACTCTTCATAAAACCTGCAAGCTAGCACTGGAAATACTTTGCACTGGCATCTGTTTGGAAGCTCTGTGTTAGTCTTTGTCTCATTTGTAGAATGTGCCTGAAGGGGGGGGAAATGCAGTTACGGATAAGAAAACAAGTCACACTACCTCGCACCAAAACAACAAGAGACACCCATAGAATCTTTATGTACACATACCAATTAAGTGCATAACTAGGCAATTATTTCTATGATCAATGATCACAAAAAGGATTCCATTTTTTTTAAACAATGAAAAGATTTAATAAAGAATGTTGTCCTTTTCTAGACCATTTGCACATTCCAGAAAAGAAACCCCATTAGACTTCTGTGTTGTGTCCCTAATTACTGGTGGCATCCAATGACTGCCTACAAAACCACAAAATGGTGGATCTTCTTCCATCGTTTGAAAATGGGTTTTTTACACTGCTTCATCTGACTAGTTTTATTTTTACGATCATGGGGTAAAACTCATGGCTAAATTAAGTTTTTGAATGATCAAGAGCTACTTCCTCATCTGATCCACTGAGGGATAATGTGCGAGTACAAACATTCAGGGATGGCTGAATTTATGATTCAAAGGCGGCAAGACCCCAAACCAACTTGAACACTCCTGATTATGTAAACAAGTCCTAGTAAGTAGCATAAGCACCTCCTGAATGGCCTGGAAGCCATTTATTCATGTCATAAGAATTTGGGACACATGGAAATGTGACTGTAGAATGGGGGAACATACTGAACTTGTGCAATAGGGTGTGCAGTTATGGATATTCTATTGCCAAAAAAAAAAAGAAAGATTGTTACTTAAACTAGCTACTAAATGCCATCAGTACAGAGAAACTTAAGTGGAAGCATATGTAAATACCCTCCCCCTCCCCCCCTCGTATAGACAGGAAACCAAGGGCACAATGCTACTTTTGTAGCGCCTATTGATTTCCATAGGAAGGTTCAGTACTGATTAAATCTCTCTCATCAAAATAAATGAGTTCTTCAAGGTGCACAATGTTTACTGGATCACGCCCAGAATGCATACAAATATAGATCCAGGGTGCATTCAAAGGTAACATTATTTGATTGGTATGGCTGGCGTGGAAACACACTGGGTGCTTTCACACATGCTAAATAATGCAGTTTCAATCAACTTCTGCGACTGTTTGCAAGTGGATTTTGCAAATCCACGCAGTAAAATCAAGTTGCAAAGTGGACTGAAAGTGTGTTATTTAGTATGCGTGAAAGCGCTCACACTCACAGCATTTGTTCAAATGAATGATCATGCCTCCAGACCTCCCGAAAACAGTTCTGTGACTTTGAAATAGAAACCACCAATGACATCACAAACCCACTCTCTCTCCCATGCCTCATCCTTGGAGAAATCTGGAAGCCCCCACCCCTACCTCAAGACTAAAGCTGAAATGAATAAAATACTATAGGCTATATTTTAAACTCAGCTTACTGTTGCATGTTTGCTTTTACGGATTGTTAGCTGCCTTCAGTGCACCTTGGGCAAAAGGGGACACATTCCTCTATCTCCATATATATCTTAAAACAGGTCTCCGTGCCTGGTGACTTACATTATAATGACCACAGGGAGCCTGGCTCAGGGGAGAAAAATCCGTACCAAAAAATTTAATGTTACATCTATATGCACCTACAAATATTGGAGATTGACACACAGTGGTTTCCAGGTATAAGAGCATCATTAATTAATTTATTTGATAGAAGACTAGAGATCTGACTGCTCTTAACTTTTTTTTTTTTTTTTTGGCTGCAGTCTTTGTTAACAAAACTTCTGCTAAGGTTCCAGGAAAAGAAATCTGTATGAAACAGAGAACAAGAGAACATATAAGCCATTACAGAAGATTGAATTAAAATGTACTTACCCGGGCCTCTCAAATATCATACATCTCCATTATGTAGGCTTTAGGCACCAAGCCAATGGTTCCTTTCATTTCTCCTACCCACCAGCCAAATCTATTGTACTCCTAATTGAAAACAATATGCAATATTAACCTTTAGTCTGATATAAATGCAATAGAGTTTTGCATGCGACTCCTTAACTTTCCGTCTTACATACAGTTACAAGAGCATGAATGGAAAATTAAAACATTAAGGAATTGCGTGTTTATGTGTTTCTGAAGCACCTGAAATGTAGTTAGGCGAAGAAGCAAATTACATTTTAAAAAGACTAGCTATCTGTTACTCTGCCGGGGGGCGGGGGGCGTTATTTACTAACTACCAATAGTTTCCTACAACTGACTGAAGTTCACCCAATGAGCAAAAGGAATGGAAAAGAAATATTAACATGTAGTTGTGCAATGTAAGGTCAAACAATCAAACAAAACAAAAACAAAACATAGCAATAGTATGAACAGTATTAATAGAAACAAGGCTGGGGTCTCCACAATGAATCATGGATAGGAAAAATTTGGAAATCTCCCCCCTACCGGATTCTACCCACTGGAACATATGCAGTTCTCTTTTTGAGTCCCCCCTTGAGAGATTAATTTACAAGCCCCCCCCCTTTTTGCATATCTGGGGAGTCATGCCAGTGTATGACTTGCCTGGTCAGTGGGTGGCCCAGTTTTACAATTTTTGTTATCCATACAGTCATCAGCCATTTTAAAAGAAATCCTGTTCTATGTTTGTGTTTAGAAATTTTTGTAGTATATATGATTAATTAAAATTCGATGTATAATCTTCTTTTGCAACTCAATTATATAATCACATTTCTTGCTACTTATTAGGTGAATTTCTAAGCCAATAGTTTCTGAACCACTTACTTTCCTCCCTCATAGTATTTCATATTCCCTACAACATATTTCAACTCTCCTCCTTTAATATTCTTTCAAACAAAACCATATGAACAGCTGCTGTTTGAAAACTAATACTTTATAATGAGGTATGGAGATCAGCTGGGATCCATTCAGTGATATAGCCGTAAGCTGTAAAGCACCTGGATTAGTGAATGCAACATTTAAGTCCCGATACTAGAATAATCCTCTCCATGCAACCTTCGCAAACGTTCCTTCTCAAAATCCACTGCTGCATTATGCCAAAATTTATATCACAGTTTTCATCTGCTTGACAGTTGACTAATGTATTTTGGCCTGAAATTTGTTTAGGCTTAGAAAGATGAATCTGAAGCAAAACAAATATATAATAGTTTAAGGAAATAGTATTTTCCAGAAGCAATACCACGTAAGAGCAGTCCAGGTCCCAAATTTAATTTTTTTTGTCCCTCTGAGGGAAACATTATTAAGATCAATCCTAATAGCAGCTCAATAACTTTCAGTGGCTAAATTGCACCCTTCTATACTGCTTGGCCACTGAAATCAGTATTGAAATGGAGGCCTTTGTCAGAAACCAGACAATGACATAGAAGAGTCTAGGAAAGCAGAACACACACATGGAATACAAGACAATCACCATTCTGCTACAACATGTAGTTAGTGTTACCAGTCTTTTTCTGGTACATTTAGCGGGGTGGATGTTCCAAAGCTCAAAATTACTTATATTCCTATAATAACTTCCTTTAAGGGTCTGATTCTAATGTACTAGTTCTTTTCCCCACATACACCTCCCACAGTTCTAGTCTTCAGCCCACACACCCACTCTGCCTACATTGCTCCATTAACCCAGGCAGTGTTGTTCACACAAGCCAGAAGATGTCTACTTTTTTATAGCACACTGCATCCTTCCTCTGTGAAGGAGTTCACCTGATTTCCAGTGTGGCCCTGAAATGCTAGAAGTTCATGCCCAGATACACAAGATGGCCGATTTCTAAGCTTCTAATCGAAGCATTACTTCTCCCTGCAGACGTTTCCCAGTGATGCATGTAACACTGTTGTTGTTTTTTAAAGACAATGATGATCAAATTCTTCTGTGGTACTTACAATATTAAAAACATAAGACAGGCAAAAAAAAAGTCACATGTTGCACTGAATAACCTCATTAGCGAAGCATCTACAACACAAAGCATGCCCAGGCTCTGTTTTCCAAATTGTATGCCTTCAGAGGAATGAAAGGAGCTCCAACGAAGAAGTGCTATTCCCCCTTTCCCCATTGCAGTGAGTGATGCCAGTTCATCCGAGCATACCACAATTGGGCCACTCTGCCAGGATGAGAATTACCCCTGCTGCAGTATTGGGAGCGATTGTTCTGGGGCCAAAACCCTTAAAGGCAAGAGGAGCTTGTTGTCTCACTAGGGGTTCAGATGTTCCAGCTGTTTGTGTTTGTTTAATAAACACATGTTTTATTCCACATTAGCCGACTTAAATACACAAATCCATGTCTCGGCAGACTTAAAGACCAAATAATCACTCGTGATGCCAGCCCTCACCTGTGCTTGAGGAATCTAGCCAAGAAAGCTTTCCATGATATGGGGAGGGAAGCCCACCATTTGGGGTCTGCGGTTGAGAGAAAATGTACATAGATGGGACAGAAAGGAAACAACATGAGGTTGGTGGGAGAGCTTTCACTAAGTGATCATTAAGGCTTTTCATGACAAATGGCAAAGAATGAAAGTCCTGTGCTCAATTATACCATAGCCATTTTCAGGAACTTGGAAAGCAACGTGCACTTTGGAAAACCAACTTCAGAAGCCTCCAATCAATTTCAAACTAAAGCATGTTGCTTTCTGAAAACTCTTCACCGCTTGCTGGATAGGAATATACCATTCCATGCTCTGGTGCGAAGTTAAATGTTAAAGATGAAGCCGCCGGTGATGTAACAGTCTAGTAAGCTAATTTATGGATATGCTGCAGACGTTGGACTAGCAAAGATGAAGAAGGCTGCAACGCAGATGCTTTTACTTTATCATTACGATTCGTGGAATGAGACTCGAGAGCAACACGAATCCCAATTAGGGCATCTGAAGTACGAGGGAACACACAGTCCTGCGTTACTGGAAATGCAACACTCTGACCTTAAGGCTGCAGTCGTCACTGCAGAGAGACCCCCTTTTAACTGGTTAATGTATTTACAGCACTCCCTTAAAATGCTTCTAACTTATGTATGCACACCCCAAATCCAATTTGATGCTGCTGTTCCACTGCGATACATTACTTAACGGTGACAACACAAGGCAATTGATTCAGGCTACTTTGAAAGTTATATGCTAGTTATTGCATTAAAAAGCATGTACAGAAGAAGAAAAATTCTAAACATTCACCTTTATGGGAAATATATGCATTATAGCACTTCATAGATTCTAGTTCCTTGGGATCGATATTAGTTGCCACACTAAACTTTTATTGAAAACAGCAATTAAAATATGTCGCCGTAAGATATTTATGGTTTGGGGAAACCACCTTAAATGTTTCAGGTCACTCGAGAGAATGCTAAAATACGTGTACCAGAATTTTCAGTGGGGATCTGGAATTCAACAGTATTTTTTTTTGTTTTTTCTCTTTTAAAACAAATAAATGGACGGTACCAATCAAATGGCGTTTTGGCCAAAATTCAAAAGATTAAGTAGAAAACTAACACTATGGATGCCTCATATGTAAGCAGATAATTTATACCTTATTTTGGGTATGGCTAAGCCTACAATCTGGTAGTGTATTCAGGTATACTGTGTATTCTTCCCATCAGCTTTGGCTCTGGCAATTGACTCCACTTCAGAGAGACTGATAAAATAATGAAGAGTCCTTTAATCTGCAGGAAACCATTCCAGTCAATTTATAAGAAATATTGCATTCCTTTGTAGGATGTGTAATTATTTTCTATTAATCATGTGCTATAAAGCTACATTATGTGGTTATTCTGTTATCACTAGGAAGAGGCCTGCAGTCAGCTCCCGACAATGTTAGGTAATTACCAACACAAAGCTTCTTTCTCCTTCTGTAGCAATGCTATCAAGATCCAGGAGAACGGTAATGCTTTATTGTATGAAAATAACACTCCAAAGAAATTAAAGAAGAGCATAATGAATTGCTTAAAGGTAAACGTGTGTGTGTGTTTGGTAGAAGTGGAGGGAAAGAAGAAAAATACTTTCTGATTTGGGGAGGGAGGGGGAGTGAAACTAGGGAATAGCCAAGAGTGGCATTTGTAAAGGCATCTGTGACAGGCACCTAAATTAGCTAGACACATTTGTTTCTTCTTCCTAAAATACCTCACTAACCTGGCAGGATATTTCTTTGTGCAGATTCCTGACTGTGTAACAGTGCAATCCACTGAGCTTAGACTGGAGTAACTCTGCATAGGATTGCACTGGAACAGCAATCACGCAGCCGTTTTATTTGCAGTTAAACTGTTTACGAGATGAACTTCAAATGATTTAAGCTCCTTAACTGTGTGCAGGATGGCAGCCTTTCCCAACAATTTCAGTCCAATTCAAATCGCATTTAAAGAAGAGTAGTTATGGATTTTAAGGAGGTATTTGCTTCTTTACAGTAACAGAAATTGTGGATTTGAGCAGATATTTGAGCAGGGATTTTAGCTTCCCTGGCTGAATATGGGTGCTCTCATTAGGCCATAAGACTATAGCCAAGCTTGATCAGACCAATGATCATTAGAGGGAGGGCAGGAAGAGATGAGTCAGTGCTTGGCTTTTGTGGCCTTTTCTTACATGCTCAGGGTAATGCTGATCACCAGTTTGGGGTCAGGAAGGAATTTCCCTCCAGGTCAGATTGGCCAGGGAACCTGGAGGTTTTTTTGCCTTCCTCTGGACATAGAGCAGGGGTCACTGGGTGAGTGGAGGGGGGGAAGTAGTTGTGAATTTCCTGTGTTGTCCAGGGGGTTGGTCTAGATGACCCTTGAGGTCCCTTCCAGCTCTATGTTTCTAATGGTCCATCGAATCCAGCATCAAACATCAGCCAGACAGATAGTGCTGGGAAGCCCACAAGCAGGGTCCCACTGGCAACAGTCCTTACCTGCTTACTGTTCTGCAACATCTGAAATTTATCATGGCTGACAGTCACCAATAGACCTGCCCTCCATAAATCTATCCAATCCCCTTTTAAATCCATCACCCCATCTGGAG